CAGGTAAGTAATTAGAAATTAACTTGACACTGCATATATTAACAAACGATTGATTTATTTCAGATCGTCGTTGTGTTTCACAATTCCACGTTGACACATTTCGTCGAACGTCGTTACATATGGCATACTAGTGCCTCTCGCAATTGTAATACGAGCGATGTTTAACGCGCACATACGCGGGCGTGCTTCAAGGTAATACACTACGATGTTAAACTACGCGCTAAGTCCGAACTATGAGCGAAACTTGCGAACGTGTTATCCCTATCGCGGTATCCGAGCGACTGCCTCGAGTTGCCGAGCGCTCTCGGCTATCCCACCTCGGGAGATCTATCCCTACCATCGGGTTGTTATTCACGTCCCGGTACTTTTCCGTGCCAGGTGTTACCCGCTTTCACTTTTCTTCTGATAGTTTTTGCCTGTTTTCGCCGGTTGTTATTCACATCCCGGTACCTTTCCGTGCCAGGTGTTACCCGCTTCCCCTATTCCTTTGATGGTTTTTGCGTGTTTTCGTCGCCGGTTGCGGCTGCGGTTCTCAACCTACGCCTTGTGACCAAACGCGCCTGCGGTTCTCAATCTATGCCTTATATCTACTCGCACGCATCGGCATGGGTCCCGCTGGACCCCGCTCTCCCGGTTTCCGGGTCCGTGTATTTCACGATCGAGCGGTCTCGCTGACCCTCCGGATTGATTTCGGCGCCTCCTCTGGAGCATCTCCACCCGTCAATTTTCCCCGGGTTTCCCCGGTTCCCGATATCCGGGGAACATTATTTGCCCCCGCTAACCACGTTTCCGTCATCGGTATCGGGTCGCGAGTCGTTCGATCGTTCTTCGGGTCGCCCTTTAGGAGTATAGGGCGAGTCGGTTGCCCGCTGTGACCTCCGTGCCCTCCGGCGCGGGGGTCATTGTTATGACCCCGCGATTTTCGCGCCCGTAAGTGGTATCGCGTCGCGGTGCCCCGGGTCGTTGTTGGCGCGTCCCCCGATACGATTCCCACGGCTCCGCTTTCGGCCAAGACCTCCGTGCCCCCCGGTACGGGGTTCATTCCCGCGACCCCGCGATCTCCGCACCCGTCGGTGATATCGCGTCGCGGTTCGGTGGATCGTTGTCGGCGCGTCCCCTGAGACGACTTCCACGGCTCAGCCTTCGGCTAAGACCTCCGTGCCCCCCGGTACGGGGGTCATTCCCGCGACCCCGCGATCTCCGCACCCGTCGGTGATATCGCGTCGCGGTTCGGTGGACCGTCGTTGGTGCGTCTCCTGAGACGACTTCCACGGCTCCGCCTTCGGCTAAGACCTCCGTGCCCCCCGGTACGGGGGTCAGTCCCGTGACCCCGCGATCTCCGCGCCCGCTGGCGCTATCGAGTGGGAGTTAGTTCGATCGCTCCCCGGGTCGCTCCTACAACGCTTCACGCAGCTCGGACCCCGGCTATAACCGCCGTGCCCCTCTGCGCGGGGTTCATTCGCGTGACCCCGCTATTTCCGCGTTAGTCGTTGCCGGCGCTTCGCGTATCGGGTGATTGGCCTCCGGATCACCCCTGAGACCTGTTCCGGGGTTCGGCTCCCGGCTATCATCGATATCCCCCCGTTCGCGGGGGTCATTCTCGTGGCCCCGCTATCTCGCGTGCCCGTTGCGCCATCTCGACCGCGCTCGTTCCAATCGGCTCTGCTTGGCTCTCCTTCCCCGGCCCGCTCGATGGCTCGCTCGGTCGATCATCCGCCGCTCGCCTACCGGGGTCAATCGTACCCCGGTCACCTATATCTTGGGATTCAGGTAAACGCTAGCCATATGGGCTCTTCGGACTCGCTTATCCGGTAATCCTATTTGAGAAATGTCGATGTCCGCTGCTCCCCCGGTCGCTGTTGGCCCTCAGGGTTGTCCGGCTGCTCAGCTATGCGAACGGTTGCAAGGTTAGGTTGTGACCGGACGGTAAGTGTTGAGCCCGATTCCGGCGGATAATATTCCTATCAAACGGTCGCCACTCGGTTTTACCTTAGACTACCGAGAAGGTAAGTTCGCATCAACGCCCCGATTATTCGCAAGACGCTAATAGGAATTATTTGTTTCAGAAGGATGTCCCTGATGGATCACCGTTGCTGCTTCTCATCCCTGGATCCTCGCTTTACATCGCATACCAGATAGAGGTAAGTAAGGATAAATTAATTATATCCTAATTATTTGAATTTTATTTCAGACTGATGTCCCTGTTGGATCACCGTTGCTGCTTCTCATCCCTGGATCCTCGCTTTACATCGCATACCAGATAGAGGTAAGTAATTATAAAATAATTATATGATAATTATTTTATGTTT